CTTGAGCCCAGGAGTTGGAGGTTGCTGTGAGCTATGCCACCGCACTCTACCCAGGGTGACAGCTTGAGGCTCTGTCTCAAAAAAAAAAAAAATTTATACATATTTGTAGCACCCTCTACATATCAAGATAATCAATTCCCTCAGCTCTAAATGATTACCTATATTCTTTTTTAAAATATCTCCATCTTCTCTGATTATGAAATTAATTCATGTAGAAAAGATAGAGAATTATAAAGGGAAAAAAATAAAAGAATACTTTGAGAAAAGCCATTGATGGGCCAGGCAAGGTGGTGCACGCCTGTAATCCTAGCACTCTAGGAGCCTGAGGCAAGTGGATTGCCTGATCTCAGATTTGAGACCAGCCTGACCCAGAGGGAGACTTCGCCTCTAAAAATAGCCGGGCGCTGTGGCAGGCCCCTGTAGTCCCAGCTACTCGGGAGGCTGAGGCAAGAGAAGTACTTGAGCCCAGAGTTTGAGGTTGGTGTGAACTGTGATGCCATGGCACTTTACCAAGGTCGACAAAGTGAGATTCTGTCTCAAAAAAAAAAAAGAGAAAAAACCCACTGAATAGGTAGCACCTGTAGCTCAGTGAGTAGTAGGGCTCTGGCCCCATATACTGAGGATGGCGAGTTCAAACTAGGCCACCGCCAAACTGCAACAACAAAAAAAAATAGCCAGGCATTGTGGCAGGCGCCTATAGTCCCCAGTTACTTGGGAGGCTGAGGCAAGAGAATCACCTGAGCCCAAGAACTAGAGGTTGCTGTGAGCTATGATGCCACAGCACTCTACTGAGGGCAACAAAGTAAGACTCTGTCTCAAAAAAAAAAAAAGAAAGAACAAAGAAAAACCACTAAATATTTTAGCATGTATTTTTCAGACTTAATACAAACGTATATCAATTTTTTAAAGAAAAAAAACAATTATCTACCTTTTTTTAATCCAACCTCATCGACCTTTCTCTTTCATACAACCAAGTAAGCAAAACACCAAGGATGAAGCAATGGTGGTGCTCACAATGTGAAAGTTTAAAGATAAGTCCTGATTGGCAGCTCAGTGCCTGTGGCTCAAGCAGCTAAGGCACCAGCCACATACACCTAAGGTGGTGGGTTCGAATCCCCAGCCCAGACCCGCCAAACAATGATGGCTGCAACCAAAAAATGGCCGGGCGTTGTGACGGGCGCCTGTAGGCCCATCTACTTGGGAGGCTGAGGCCGGAGACTCGCTTGAGCCCAGGAGTTGGAGGTTGCTGTGAGCTGTAATGCCACAGCACTCTACCCAGGGGGACAGCTCGAGGCTCTGTCTCAAAAAAAAAAAAAAAAAAAAAAGTCCTGATTGGCAGGACTCGAGTAGGCTTTTCTAGACCTCCTTCCCTGTAGGAAATCGGAGGACAGCTTGATCTTTGGCCAGGCCAACAGGGACAACCTGTTGGTCTTAGTCACTTTGAAGCATCTAAGCATTAGAGGTTTTAGCAAAACCAGAATTATTTAACATTTTTTGTAACTGTACTATGATAAGACCTTGGTGCTGGGTTTGAATGGCCAGGCTATTGTGTGTACTTCACGACCTATGAGTCTTACTGATTTGCAGCTCTTTGCAGAAAAGTCATGTAAACTGCTACCAAATGAGCAATTTTACAGCTTCTGAACAAATTCAACATATAGCTCAAGGAGGAGCAAATTACAGTGGTCTAGCCTAGAAGGGCTGAAAACACATATTAATGTGTCAGGATCTCTGCCAGAAAAAGAAGAGCTAATTTTTTCGGTTTTGTTTTTTAGCATTAGTGATAGACTGTATCCCTCAAGAACACTAAAATGACTTCCATGCTACAAACATATAAATGAATGCAAAGTTGTGAACTCAAGGTTCTAGTTCTGACCTTCAGACTTTGTTGTATCATCGGTGATTCTGGTGTTATGTCAAGGTTTTATATTAACTCTTTTTCTTTTTTTTTTGAGACAGAGTCTCATTATGTCACCCTCAGCAAAGTGCCATGGCATCACAGCTCACAGCAACCTCAAACTCTTGGGCTTAAGCAATTCTCTTCCCTCAGCCTCTCAAGTAGCTGGGACTACAGATGCCCCCCCCAATGCCTAGCTATTTTTTTTTTTTTTTTTGAGACAGAGCCTCAAGCTGTCCCCCTGGGTAGAGTGCTGTGGCATCACAGCTCACAGCAACTTCCAACTCTTAGGCTCAAGAGATTCTCCTGCCTCCATCTCCCAAGTAGCTGAGAGTACAGGTGCCCGCCACAATACCTGGCTATTTTTTGGTTGTAGCTGTCGTTGTTTGGCAGGCCCAGGCTAGATTTGAACCAGCCAGCTCAGGTGTATGTGGCTAGCACCTTAGCTGCTTGAGCCACAGGTGCCAAACCAATGCCTGGCTATTTTTTTGTTGCAGTTGCCATTGTTGTTTAGCAGGCCCATCCTAGGTTCAAACCTGCCATCCCTGGTGTATGTGGCTGGCACCCTAGCCACTGAGCTACAGGCGCCAAGCCCATATTAACTCTTTAAAAACAAACTTGAATATTTTGGGGTTTTATTATAAAAAGTAATAGATACTCATTGAAATAAATTTAGAAAATATAAATAAATAAAATAGAGAAACTAGAAATCTCCTCTAATGTCCAGTCAGACATAACCATTGTTCACATTTAGAAAAGTATCCAGTATGTTTTTTCATATCCATATATACATATACATATTTTATACATATATATAAAATAAGATGGATATATTTAACACAAAAATAAAAATGGCTGATAGAGAATACACTATTTTGTATCATCTTTCTACTTTAATGCATCATGAATATCTATTTTGTTATATGTGTGTATTTATGTAATGCACATCTCTAAATATTTGTACCCATTCATTATTATTTCCTTAGAATAATTTCATAGTAGATTTGTTGTATCTGTTAACTTAAGAGACATTTAAGGCAGTTGATACATGTGGTCAAATTTCAAGATTTACTGTTGGCTCGGAAAGATAAGTCCTGACTGTTGGCTCGGCGCCTATAGCTCAACCGGCTAAGGCACCAGCCACGTACACCTAAGGTGGGGGGTTCAAATCCCCAGCCCGGACCCGCCAAACAACGACGGCTGCAACCAAAAAATAGCCGGGCATTGTGGCGGGCGCCTGTGGTCCCAGCTACTTGGGAGGCGGAGGCAGGAGACTCGCTTGAGCCCAGGAGTTGGAGGTTGCTGTGAGCTGTAATGCCACTGCACTCTGCCCAGGGGGACAGCTTGAGGCTCTATCTAAAAAAAAAAAAAAAAAAAAGATTTACTGTTATTTATTCCCTGCTTCAATCCAGAAAGCATTTGACATCACTAGGTTTGACACTTAATATCATTGTTGAATATTATTATTATTATTATTTTTTGAGACAGAGTCTCACTGTGTTGCCTTTGGTAGAGTGCTGTGGCGTCACAGCTCACAGCAACCTCAAACCTCTTGGGCTTAAGTGATTGTCTTGCCTCAGCCTCCCAAGTGGCTGGAACTATAGGCACCTGCCACAGGCCCAGCTATTTTTTGGTTGTAGTTGTCATTGTTGTATGACAGGCCCAGGCTGGGTTCAAACCTGCCAGCTCCGGTGTATGTGGCTGGCGCCGCTGAGCTACAGGAGCTAAGCCTGGTTTTGTTTTGTTTTTTTTAATGAGATGGGCTCTCACTATGTTGTGCAGGCTGAACTTAAACTCTTGGGCTCAAGCGATCCTCCTGGCTCAGCCTTCCAACTAGCTAGGACCATCACACCTGGCTTAAATATTTAATTTAATTTTTTTTTTAATTTGAGACAGAGTCTCAAGCTGTTGCCTCAGTGTTTCTATTTTTAGTAGAGACGGGGCCTTGCTTTTTGCTCAGACTGGTCTCAAACCCGTGAGCTCAAGCTATCCACCCACCCTCAGCCTTCCAGACTGCTAGGATTATAGGCATGAGCCACTGCGCCTGGCAGGCTCAAAAATTTTAAATACACAAAAGTAATTTTCTCAGTCACCGTGAAACTGCCTTTTATAATAAACTTAAGACATTTTCTTTCAGAATGTTAAACTTCTGATTTATTTGGTCATTGGCATATAGTCAGCCTCATCTCCAGTTATCCTCTAGTGACTTTAATCCTCAGTGGAGGTTGGGTGGCAATGTTCCTATGCTATTGCACTATGCCTTATCCTTCTGTACTAGGCAGTAGTGTTGACAAGCTGCCAAATGAGACAAATGTTTATGGAGGTATCCCCAGACCTTAGCTCTAGTTACTCTGGATAAGGTGTCTCTTCTGTGGTAGCAAGCTATTAACTGGGTATCCCATCCTGATTTCCCTATATCCTTCTTGCAAGAAGACTTTTTGGATTCTCGCTCATGAAATACATTTTCTTCAAACCCCAAAGGTCTTGTTAATTTGTTTCTCTGCACACAAACTCCCCACTGGCAATTCTGTCTGTTCTTCATTTGCACACCTTCTTCAAAGTTCCACCTTGAATAACTATCCTAAAAATATATACTTTCTTTTCAAGTTCATCAGAGTCACTTATCAAAACCCAGTTTTAAATGACCATTTGTTTTTTTGTTTCCAATGCTGTCTATAACGGTTTCCACCCTGAACTTGTTCCAGTGGGCCTGCCCTCCCCATTGGCCTGATACTCCAGTTACAAACCTAGCTTCTCCCATAAGGTCCTCAGCTCAGCTCCCTGTTTTTCCTGATTAATCCATATGAGAAAATTTATTCTGAGCTGCTCTCAAAGATTCTAATTCTCCAGATTTATAGCTCTTCCCTCTCTTTAGATTTAGCATTTGTTCTTTTCTTTTCTTTTTTTTTTTTTTTTTGAGACAGAGCCTCAAGCTGTCCCTGTGGGCGGAGTGCTGTGGCATTACAGCTCACAGCAACCTCCAACTCCTGGGCTCAAGCGAGTCTCCTGCCTCAGCCTCCCAAGTAGCTGGGACTACAGGCGCCCACCACAACGCCCGGCTATTTTTTGGTTGCAGCCGTCATTGTTGTTTGGCGGGTCTGGGCTGGGGATTCGAACCCACCACCTTAGGTGTATGTGGCTGGCGCCTTAGCTGGTTGAGCTATAGGAGCCGAGCCGCATTTGTTCTTTTCTATTTAGTCTTCAGACTTAGCTTCTGTTTTTGTTAGTTGTATGCAACGTCCTCTTAAATTTTGCCATCCTGAGGACTCATTAGGGGTGTGGCCTATGCTATTTAATTGATCATCAGAGCTAGTTTCATACTAAGTCGTCCTTAGCAATTATACATACATAATGTTTTTTAATTGTGGAAAACATCATGTTAGCCCTGGCATTAACACTCACTCCACAACCTCAATGAAATAAGCCTGTATAAACATTTTTCTTTCTTCTCTGTCACAGCAAACCATTTTCAGTTTTACTATGATCTCTGGCAGAGTACTTCACAATTCGTTTTAGAAACATAGCTAGTAAATGTAATTTATCAGAATTATGATCTCCAAGTTTAATAAAACTTGATATTTTTGTCCCTGTCTGTTTCAGGGCTTTAACATCAAAAGTGTACAATCACAAGGTTTTAAACTGAATGTATGGGACATTGGAGGACAGAGGAAAATCAGACCATACTGGAGGAATTATTTTGAAAATACCGATATTCTTGTAAGTACTCCTTCTGATGTACTAATTCATAGTATTTTCTGCTGTGTGTTAGAAACATTAACACCTTAATAGTGTTCTTTCTTGTCGGTAATTCCACTGCCATAATATTAATCATTTGGCAGGGCTAGTAGCAGGCTGTGGATTGTAAAGGAGAAACTCCTTTGTATAACTTACATGGAGATGTTTTGCTATTGCTCAGTAACAATGTGTGCCCATACCCACCATGGCAAAATAAAGTATTTATTAATTACCAAAGTGATTTGAATGACAGAAGGGAGTCAAAAGATCATGCCACTGATTCTATCAGCCCAAGGAGGTCAACAAATCAAGTGTATCCCAAAGATAGTGTGATGCATAAGGAATAATTGACAGACCTGACAACGTTCTTCCTAGGAAAGAGAACACTTAGGCTCGGCACCTGTGGCTCAAGTGGCTAAGGCACCAGCCACATACACCTAAGGTGGCAGGTTCGAATCCAGCCTGGGCCCGCCAAACAACAATG